AGTGGGCATTGACATGAGTAAGAAATTACATGCTGCTATTGTAATTCACTGAGATTTGGAAATTGTGACTGCAGCATAACTTAGTCCAAACTGATGAGTATGGAGAGTGAACTTAGTTTCCAGCTTTCTAGTTCCATTCTCTCTGTGAGTTGATTTTGTTTCATTTCCCATGAATTCCTCTGAGATCACTAAGTGGAGTTACAACCAACAATCCCTCATAAAACTGACAAAAATGATATTATGTAGAACTACTTCATTCTTAAACATTTATCTTGTAATGAATCTTATCCTCTGTGCCAAGGTTCAGTTATATGCATATATACACTTTGACAAGTGTTTAGGTGAGAGAAGTGCAATTTATTGTATTCATGGTAAAGGTAAATTTTGTCTGTGCATTATCTTATTACTTAATAACAGATGGCTGTGATCATTTTCTCTTACTTCTTGCAAACTGTAATTTGACTCTGAATTCCAATTAATAGCATCTTTTCGTGGCATATACAGGAAGAACAATTTATAATACCTCAACATAATAATAGTATCTTCACTGGAGAATCTGAAAAAAAACCTGAGTCATATCAGTTATCATTTTTAGCTTCGTTATTGAAAAACAAGATACCTTCGTTTAATATACAAATAAACCTTTGGGTAGCATTCTTATTCCCTGAGCTTTCTCTCTGGACCTGTAATGATGTAGTTCCCTCTTTTAGGCCACCATCCAGAGTAGCCTTTGTACTACACTCTGTGTTCTGGAAGGAGCAAGCAAAGTACTCCAAGCTGGGGGGTGAGATTTTTATGTAGTAGTTGTTGACTAGTGAGACAATAACTTCTGTTTTATTAAAAAACCTTCTCCTGGGTCAAACTGAAGTTAGTAAGTTGTAAACATTTACTTTTTTTTTTTTTTTCAAAGTACCTCCACAGTATAGTTTTAGCTCCTTTGCATCCTTGTGGGTAGGAAGCACAGAGGTTATGAGACTTGCTTTACGTTACCAGCAAGTAAGTGGTAAGATCAGATCTGGAACCCAGATCTCCTGTCATCTAGTTCTTTCCATTATGTCTCAGTACAAAGAGGAAAATTTTGTTTATCTGTAACATTCTCCTTAATGCCTCTAAGAATGTTTACATTGCACACAGAATGTTCTGATTGGACTAGAAGTAAACTTTTTAAAAATTAAAAAACATGAACATATGCTACCTGTTACATTTACCACGGTAATGTCTTAGATTATATTGTGTTTACTGTTGATATATAGTTAACTGAATATCACTTTAGTTACATTAAATAACACATTTTCCTACAGAAATATTTGACGAGATGTCACCATACTGCAAAGCACATATTTTTCCCCCAGAATACTTTGAAAAACAAAGCATAACAACTGACAGTTTATTTTAAAATGTTGTAAATTGCAAATCATCATCAACAACAACAAAAAAGAAGATAGAAATAACATTTGAGGATGAATGAATAGTTAGTGTTTAGGATGCAAAGAAAAAGTAAATCCTTGCTCAACAGCATAAACACAAAGCTGGCCACAAATATATCACTGATTCAATAATTGATAAAACACATCAGGAATCAAGAATAATGTTAGATTTAGGAATGTGAATTGCTAAAAATTACAAAGTAATAATAATGATTACAATGATCTATTTGAAAGTATCTACCAAATGATTTGTTTTGTGTGTGTAGCAATTCTTTATACCAACCTAAATTGGATAAAGGAACATAGCAAGTGCTGATACTAAATAAAAACTAATAGCAGATATTTATCTTTTAATGCCTCTTCTTGCATTGCAATTTTTCATAGATTTTGAAGGTCATGTATATCTGAAAAGTATTTTAGTTTGGTCAATTGACAACAGATATATTTTAGCTAGTTTTTATAATTATTTAAAAATAACTTCAGTCATTTTTTCTTGAGTAAGATAATGACTTAGTGTCCAAGGGAAATATTTATTCACTAGAGGCCTGATGCACAAAATTCGTGAAAGGGGCTCGGCCCTCGCAGCCCTGGCTTTGTCCGGAAGGTCGTTCAGCTGTTCAGTCTAATTAGCATATTATGCTTTTATTATTATAGATAAGATTTTCTTTATCATTAGAAATGGCTAATTAACATGGTAGACTGTTAATGAAAACTTTCGGGTCTAGTAATCACCTGTGTAGAGAACTAATTGTCCAACTTTGGGAGAGTGAGTTAGTGTAAATCTTTACTCTTTTATGTCTTAAAGAGCATAAAAATTCCAGCCCATGAGCTTTTTGTGAGGATAGAGGTATCATTAACAATATGAGAAAGATCAAGAGTTAACACATTAACTACCCTATTAAACAGATAATATGGGGGAGTAATGTTTGTTGTTCATCAACAGATGGTAAGTGAATGTTAATATCTGTCATCCTTCTCCCTTATTTTTTCTTGGAAGTTTAATAATCCTGATATTGACTGAAAAAATTTATACCTATTTGCTATTTTGGCAAAAATCTGCATAAGATTAGAGAAGAACTTATCCTTAAAAAAAGCAAATCAACATTCCCTTCTTAGCCTATTTAAATCTCAAGGGCTTTAACATTATTCTTTTTTAGCAGGCATCTAAATTTCAACCCAGTCCATATCACAGAGTCTACTCACAGCTTCCCATTACTGGTAAAACAAATGGTTTAACATTTCAAATCTGCATGGGGCTAGACAGGTTTGAAGGTTTTTTTTAGTCTTAATGGATAAAGTACTTTAGGCTCTTGTTCACAGAGCCTTGTTTGACCATCCTAATTAGTGTGTGGCTCAAAGTTCTTCTTTCCAGATAGGGTGATTAATTTCTTAGTTCCAAGGATAGAAAGGCAATTCAACATAGCAGTTTAAGAGTGAATGCACACAATTAAATGAAAACTGGCTGTGAACTACATTTTTGAAAACACTCAAAATTGTCATTTAAAAACATTTAAATTGAAGCATTTTCAAAATAATGGCATGTGCCTAGTGGAGCTCAAATTTGTGCTGAATTAGATCTCCAGCAAGACTAATATGGTTTAATAGGTTATATGTGAGAACACAAATGACTGTAAATGTGGATCACGTGAAAATTAATATTGAGTTGAGAAACCCTCCCTGATTGCTGAAAGTGGTGTGTGTGTGGGGTTTTTTCATTCTGTAAATAAAATATCTCTCAAAGGCCAGTCCTAAGGAATGCTGGGAAGTCCTGAGTGGGGGCATAGCTGAGAGGACTGAACACCATCTTTAGGCCGGGCCTACCCCTGGGCTTGCAATGAAATGATGTGAAGAAATCCTCCCTACAACAATCTGGAACCCCTGCCCTACCCTTCACACCCCCACTGAATGGGTTACTTAAAAAGTAGAAGTCACATTTATGTACATCTTAAGAATGGTTCCCTTCCTTCCAAACCCTGTGGACATAACATTATAAAGATCTCTTTCCTCTTTTTTAAAAAATTATTTTTATTGATTTCAGAGAGGAAGGGAGAGGGAGAGAGATAGAAACATCAATGAGAGAGAATCATTGACCGGCTGCCTCCTGCACACCCCTCACTGGGGATTGAGTCCACAACCTGGGCATGTGCCCTTGACCTGAAAGGAAACCCGGACCCTTCATTCCGCAGGCCAATGCTCAATCCACTGAGCCAGACTGGCCAGGGCAGATCTCTTTCCTCTTGAAGCTTATTCTCTAGTGTATGGGGATGGAGGGAGAGAAGGGAAGCAACAGACATACAAAAAAAACCAACAAAAACATAATTAAAAAATAAAGCATGCCAAATAGTGATAACTTCTACTGAGAAAAATAAAGTAGGAAGGAAACTAAAGGATGTCTGAGATGGTGGCAGCAATTGTGGTCAGGAAGATCTGCCAACAAAGGTGACATCTGAGCAAAGATCTGAAGGAGGCACGAAAGTGAGCCACTCAGATATGGGGATAGCACGTTGGGGAAGGGCACCTTAGGCTGAGGGAGCATCCGCTGCAAAGGCTCTGAGGCCAGAAGGTGCCTGGTGCTGGTTGAGGGACAGCAGGAGGGACATTGTGGCTGGAGCAGAGAGAATGAGGAGGAGGAAATGTCATCGATAAGGCAGGTCAAAGAGGAACAAGTCATGTAGGTCTAGGCGGAAACGCCATCAAAAGAGACCGGAAAGATAAATCTGGTAACAGGTGTCTCAAAGTTTACACAGCGGAAAGGGATTGAATCTTGGACAAACGGGTGGGTGGGAGGTTGGCAGGACGGGGTGACCCTGGGAGAGACGCTTGCCCAGCCTTCAGGCCTTGACCGCACCTAACCTCAGGTCCAGCTACTCCAGGCACAGGTCTCCTGGGGAGGGTCGGAAACTAAGCCTGCAGGCCCAGGTGCCAAGGCGACCAGAGGATTTAGGATTTCCCCACCCCACTCCTCACTCCCCTGCCTCCCGAGCACAAAGCACGGGCCCCCACAGCAGCCCCTCCAGCAGGTTCGTGGCGTCTGGGCACGCGCGGACTCATCAGTATTCTGCCCGTGGCTTTCTCTCGCCCCCACGGAGACTGTGGCGCCTGCGGATCTAACAGCTCCAGCCCCCCGAGGCCCTCGCCACCCAACCGCCCCCACCTACTCCCCAAGGACCATGGCCAGAGCCCAGCAGCCTGCTTTGCCCTGGAGCGGCCCTGGCGGCACTGGGCACTGGTGCTGCTCTGCCCAGTCACGCAGCGCTTTCCCGCACGCTGGCCTCAACCGCAAGCGGCACGTCTGCTGCGGAGAGGGGGCGCCCTGCGCCTGGATCACCCGCAACGTCCCCGGGAGACCCGCTCTAAGGCATCCCCGCAACAACTCTCTGGGGATAGTCAACTCCAGTGTGCTCGGTTTAAGATCCGCCTGCGCTTCCTGCAATGCACCAGACGGGGGAAGCAAATGCTGTAGGCACCTGCATTGCGCCCCCGCTGGGATGCACTGTGCGCAAAAGAGGAGGACTGTCTGAAACCGAGGGATCGGAGGCGCGGGGAGACAGGGGTGGGTTTCTTAGGACTCACCTTGTGCAGTTTCCACATGGCCCCCAGAGCCTTGACTTCGTGGCTGGAGTGTTTGCCTTCCTCCAAGCACTGATAGCACACGGGCATCTTGCACTGCACGCAGTACATGCTGTGGTTCTCCAGCTCGTGGTCTGTGCAGGTGGAGACCTTGCGCGGGCTCAGCCGCCGGCTCACGCGGCCCTGGGCCGGAGGCACCAGGCGGTGCTTGGCTAGGGGGCCCCGGGGCGGATGGCAGCGAAGGCGGCACGGATCGCAGTAGAAGACATCGCACTGTTCGCACATGACGGTGGCCTCCTTGGGCGCCTTCTCGCAGAGCTGGCACTTGAGGGCCGCGGCTTTGCTCTGCTGGTAGCGGTCAATTACCCCTTCCAGGACGCGGTTCTTGGGGAAGCCACGGAGACCCCGGTCATCCAGGATGAGACTGCGGTGGCACTGGGGGCAGGTGATACAGGAGTTGCGGGGCACCGGGGCCAAGGCCGGTGACAGGTGGGTGGCCGGTGGCGGCATAGCTGGGGGGAACACGCGGACTCCGTTGGGGGACTTCTGGCACGGAGTAGTGGGGGCGCTGGCAAAACCCCCGTAGGAGCCATAGCCGCTGTCCGCTTCGCTGTACAGACTCATCTTGTCCAGGTCCAGGTAGTCATAGTCGGAGACCCCGGAGCCCGAGGCCCGACGGCTCTGGGGGGACTCAGACTCCGGGGTTTGCACCAGGATGTTGCGAGCGCACGCCTGACATAAATTGTGGGAGCAGGGCAGGATGATGGGCTCCCGATAGAAGGACCCGCACACGGGGCATTTTAACTCTTCTTCCATCTCTTCCATGGGGACCCAGGTGGGAGCGAGGCAGCCGCGGCTGCAACGGGCAACTGAGCTGGCGAGGTGGCCGACAGGTCGGTAGTGTCCAGCACCTTGGCCAGCGGCGGCAGCGCGTCCCGCGTCGCCGAGGCGCTGACTACCTGTGAGACGCGCTCCCTGTGCGCTGCTGCACCGCGGCGCCCGGCCAGCCCGGGACCGCCCACTTCTGCCCTCCTAGTCCCGCCCCTGCCTGTAAACAGCGGCCTATTGGGCGGCAGGCAAGAAAGCGAAGCTATTATTGGCCAAACGCCCCGTCCCTCCCCCTCCTCCGCAGGCCAGAGTGGATTTGGTGGAGGATCTGAGGACGGGGGAAGTCTGCGCTCCCCGCTGCGTGATCTCGGGAGGGGGCTGGCGTGGGCTGGCGAGGGGACTCGGAAGGAGGAATTAGGCGCTATGACTCATCCCTCGCCCCGCTTTCTTCCGACTCCGGTGCAGTCACCCAGCTGGGGGCCTGAGAAACCCCTCCCCTCAGCGAGGAGGCTGGCGGAGGGGGCTGGTGCTTCTCGCCAACAGTCTGTGTTTGGCTTTGAGCAGACGCCCCCTTCTTCTTCCGCTGCTGGCAGCCTCGGCAGGCCCTCGCCGAGGCCCGGGTTTCTGTATGGCAGCCGGGCTTTTGTCCCCCTCGTGAACCCGCCGAAGCCTGCCCCGGGCGCGCCCGCATCCCGGGAGTCTGATGGCGCCTGGCGGGAGCCAGGGCGAGAGTCTCTTCCAGGCGCACCCTCGGTCCCTGGTGCCTAATCATATCGACTTCCTAGAGTTAAACTAGGTGACTGATGTAAAGGCTCGTTGTATGAATTCACATCTATGCCCCTTCATTTCCCGCTTTAAATTCGGGCTGGGCACAGAGGCTGCTTAAGGTGTGGTGCGAAACGAGCCTCTGTTGTCCCCTGTTCACGTTCCCTGCCTCCCAAAGCTGTGTTCTCGCCGCGCTCTTTGCACTGAGTCAGCCTTTGGTTCAGTCGAGGCAGGAATGGGTTGCCTGTTCCTGCGCTCCCATAGTTCAGCAGCTCCGGATAAATCACTGTGTTGCTGTGGAGTCTCAATATTTGGCTCCAATCAACATTATTCAATGTCACGTGGCCTTACCACAGCTTCAGAACGGTGAGTTCTTTCTGTTTCCTTAAGTGATGGTGATGCAGGGGAAGAAGATGAAGAGGGTTCTAGTATTAGTCCTCATATATTAAGCACCCTTCTTCCTCTCCCCAAACATCGCTGGAGATATCTGGTCCTGCCCCTTGCCTGCAGAACTGGTGAGTTTATGATAGAGAACAAAGGAAAAAAAAAAAGAGCCCTGGTTGGTTTGCTCAGTAGATAGAGCTTCGGCCTGCAGCTGAAGCATCCAGGGTTCAATTCCGGTCAAGGGCACATGCCCAGGTTGCAGGCTTGATCCCCAGTAGGGGGCATGCAGGAGGCAGCTGATCAGCGATTCTCATCATTGATGTTTCTATCTCTCCCTCTCCCTTCCTCTCTGAAATTAATACAAATATATTTTTTAAGAAAAGAAAGAAGAATCTTTGAGTAAAATGACATAGTGACATGGCTGCCTTTTGTGAATGATTCATGAAATAACAAAAACTCTTCCTAAGTTCTAAGAAATGTTCCAATTTTCTATCTTCCAAAAAAGAGATAATTTGATTATATGCAGTTACATTAAAAGCCACTTTACTGCCCAGGAAAAAAAAAAAAAGAACTTTTTATAACCCTGCCCTTGGAGAAATAGTCCAATAAACTAGGTTATCTTTCCACACTTTTATCAATGAAAACAGCACTTGATCACTGGGGAAAATGTTCTTATTGTTATTTAAAGTTACACTGCCCTGGCCAGTGTGCTCAGTGGTTAGAACCTGGTCTGCACACCAAAGGGTGGAGGGTTTGATTCCTGGTCAAAGGCACATACCTAGGTTGCCGGTTCCCTCCTGACCCTGTGGGGGCATCCGTGGGAGGCAACAGGTCTTTGTGTCTCTTTCACATTCAAATTTTCTCTCTCCCCTCCCTTCCTTCCACTCTCTCTGAAAAAGCAATAGAAAAAATACACTCAGGTGAGAATTAACAAAAACAAAACAAAACAAAACAAATAAACAACAAAAAGTTACACTGACCAAAAATGCTATGTGATTTATTTTTAACCTGACTTTCAGAGCATCCAAAAGCTTATCTATTCTGTTTACATAGAATTTCTTCATGTGGGTTTGGAACATCTGTATCTATAGGATACATCTATTTTAGGGGTCCCAAGAGAATTGCTAAAAACAAGAAGGTAATTATTAAGAAACTGTTAGAGGTGTTAGTACAACTCATAATTTACAATCCTTTCCATGACTTTTGTATGCATTTGGCCAAAAGTCGTAATAGCCTTGAGCCCGGGCTTTGGACATTTCAAGGTGAGCAGCTGTTACTCTTTTTATGAGTTTGAACTTTACTTACCGCAGGATACCATCTGCTATAGATCAAATGTTTATGTCTCCCCAAAACTCATATCTTGAAATCCTAACTCCCAAGATGATGATATTAGGAGGTGGGGGCCTTTGGGAGGTGATTAGGTCAGGAGGGCAGAGCCTTCGAGAATGGGATTAGTGTTCTTATAAAAGTGACACAAGAAAGCTCCCTTGCTTCCTTCCACCATATGAGGAAGCGGGCCCTCACCAGATACCAAAAATGCCAGCACCTTGATTTTGTATTTTCCAGCTTCCAGAACTGGGAGAAAGAAAATTATGTTGCTTATAAGCTCCTCAGTCTATGGTATTTTGTTATCTCAGCCCAAATGAGGCACCATCTAAGAGGTCTGCTTATTAGCAGAAAATGTATGCTTAGTTCAAAATAAAGGATAGTTGTAGGGAATGTCTGTATCGTAATATGCTATGGGTTTCACAAAGACTCAATAGAAGAGAAACTAAGATGGCGGCATAGGTAAACACCGGGAAATTGCCGCTTCACATAACAATTGAAAATTACCGCAAAGGACAGAGCAAACATCATCCAGAACAACAGGAAGGCTGGCTGAGTGTAAATTCTACAACTAGAAGGAAAGAAAAGCATGCTGAGAGCCAGAGGAGCTGCAGAGGTGAAGTGCAGAGGTACAAGTGCAGAGGTACGGCTGGCTCGCAAGCGCGCGCGCGCCCGCACGCGGAAAGGGGGTGGCACCTGAGGACGTGGCTGTGTTTTTGAATCACAAGCTCCTGAACTCCGGTTCCGGGAAGTCTCTGGGGACCCAGGACTCATACGGGGAGAAGCTGGTCTGTCTGGCAGCTGGCGAACTTGAAGGCGGCTTTCCCTCAGAGGTGCTTGCAGCAATTAGCGGCTCACTGAGACCCGCGACTCCGGGTGGAGAATCAGCCATAGCTCCTTGATCCGCCCTTTGATTCCCTGAGACCCCGCCCCACCCAGGCTGCGGCAGAGGCTTTTGCATGTGAATGTACCTAACTGCAGCCAAGCCAGGCAGACCCGGAACTTCCAAGAGAAGGCCCAAGGCCCCGCAGCGGCTGGCATTGCTTCACAGCTGAGCCTCTTCGTGGCTCCTGCTGTGTGGCCTCAGGCAGAGGCTGAATTAGCACCTCCTTAGATCCAGGAGCCACTGTACCCAGTGGTCAGAGGGGGACCATCCAGATTACAACTCCTCAGATCCATAAGGGACACACTCAGGGAGCAGACTCAGTGAGCACCAAAGCCCCACTGAAGCAAGTCTTGCCCCAGAAGGGTGTCTTCAGCACAGAAGTTCTCCCACTTTAGACACAGCTGATTCTCACAGCCAATTGGCATGGAGGTCAATTCCTCCCAGTGATCCTACAACAACCAAGGCACCAAGAGTGCACCAAGAGTGTCCACCCCAGGTAACTGGGGAGGCTGAGCTACTGGGCCCTACAGGACACCTGGCGCGCAGGGCCACTCTATCAACACAGGGAAGCTGCCAAAATGAGGAGACAAAGAAACAGGTCACAAATGGCAGAAATGGAGGAAAGCCAACGATTGGATATAGAGTTCAAGGCCATGTTTATAAGGTTTTTCAAGAATTTTATGGAAACCGCCGATAAATTTAATGAATCCCTCAATAAGTATAGTGAGACCATGGAGGACATGAAAAAGGACCAACTAGAAATTAAGCATACACTGACTGAAATAAAGAATAATTTACAGAGATCCAACAGCAGACAAGAGGATCCCAAGAATCAAGTCAAAGATTTGAAATACAAAGAAACAAAAAATACCCAACCGAAAAAGAAAAAAGAAAAGAGATTCCAAAAATATGAAGATAGTGTAAGGAACCTCTGGGACAACTTCAAGCGTACCAACATCAGAATTATAGGGGTACCAGAAGGAGAGAGAGGGCAAGATATTGAAAACCTTTTTGAAGAAATAATGACAGAAAACTTCCCCTACCTGGTGAAAGAAATGGACTTACAAGTCCAGGAAGCGCAGAGAACCCCAAACAAAAGGAATCCAAAGAGGACCACACCAAGACACATCATAATTAAAATGCCAAGAGCAAAAGACAAAGAGAGAATCTTAAAAGCAGCAAGAGAAAGACAGTCAGTTACCTACAAGGGAGTACCCATACGACTGTCAGCTGATTTCTCAACAGAAACCATGCAGGCCAGAAGAGAGTGGCAAGAAATATTCAAAGTGATGAATAGCAAGAACCTGCAACCAAGATTACTTTATCCAGCAAAGCTATCATTCAGAATAGAAGGTCAGATGAAGAGCTTCACGGATAAGAAAAAGCTAAAGGAGTTCATCACCACCAAACCAGCATTATATGAAATGCTGAAAGGTATTCTTTAAGAAGAGGAAGAAGAAAAAGGAACTCTTACCATTTGCCACAGCATGGATGGAACTGGAGAGCGGATAAATACCACATGATCTCACTCATTTGTGGACTATAATGAGCAACATAAACTGATGAACAAGGACTGATCCAGAGATGGAGAGGCATTGATTGGACTGTCGGGACTTGGAGGGAAGGTAGGGGAGGGTGGGGGTAAGGGGGAAAGATCAACCAAAGGACTTATATGCAAGCATATAGGCCTAATCAATGGACATGGACAACGGGGGGGTGAGGGCATGAGCGGGGGGGGGGGGGGTGAGGGGGTAGAGGGTAACGCAGGGACAAGGACACATATGTAATATCTTAATCAATAAA